GAGAGGTCTAATGGAGGAGGAGAGGACGATGGAAAAGGAGAGACGGGGGTGGCGAGAAGAAAGGACGAAGGAGGGAAAGAAAGGGGATGTATCGCGTCGGAGTCGTGGTCGGAGAGAGGAGAATCGAAGGAAGTCGAGGACCCTCGTGGAATCGATCGAGCGAAGGAAGAAGCCGGAGCAAGAGGAGTCGCGCCCGTAGAAAGGAGAGAAGAAAGCCTCTCCTCACGGCCATTCATTCCGCTGGCTACCTAAGAAGACGTAAGCCGCGCAAGAATTAGGCAGAAAAAGGTGGAGCACGCTCCTCGAACGGCCGAGAGTGTTTGGTGTTTATACCTGGCTCCTTAGAAAACGGCCTCCCTCCAAGTAGATGCTTACAAACAGGCGGTTGTCAGATTTCTTTTATCTTTCCCGGGGCATCTGTATGGCCGATGCCCCCGGCAGCTACTCCTCTTTTGCGTTTCCTCTTTCTTATCCTGCGACCAGGCACCCTCCTATCCGTTATCGATGCGAGAAACCGGGATTGCGTGCTTTCTTCCCTTCAACCGTTGTCGGGCTACCATAATCAGTTGCCAACGTCACCGAAATTATCCAACTTGCCCCCCAAAACGAATAATCCTCCTTCATTCGGTTACTCCGAGCAGTCTACGATACTCGAAGCACATTTCCAAATGTAAGTCTCTTAACACGAGATATCTCGCGTTTTCTACGCGTCGGAAATAATTAATCCCTATAGCGATCCCAAATAGGGTACATCTGTGCCATTAGGGGTTGCTCACGAGATAACAATCAAAATCGAAGCTACCAAGTCTATATATAAAATTGACGATAAAATGTGCAGGTATTCTCGACGGAATTACCGAATTTCATTCAATCTGACGAAGATAGGAGAATGATCGTGTACCAGTCCGTGCCACCTCTTGCAAAATTATCCTCCAGCAGTGTCTATACTGTTCCACGGCTATAATCTGCCTCACCGATGAATTAATAACGGATACATGACCGAAAAGTGATAAATCTACGCAGACTAATTATCACCTCGACGAAATTGATACTTCCCCGTCATCATATCATTTCGTCTTCGCTCAGCGTGCATCCAACGAGCCAAATCTCTTCCAAATTTCTGCGTGTACGAAATTTTTCTAAAGAAACACCACGGAACGCACTCGTCGATTTTCATTATCCACGTTAAAGCAGAATAATCTCATCTATGGAACACGAATACCAGACTGGATGAGTCACGCGTGCCTCTTTCTAGCATTGGCACATGTCACGGCTGCCTGCCTCTGTTGCAACCTTTCAAGCCTAAAGACGCGTGTATCGCGTGTTGCCTAAGCAAATCTGCCACAAATCCGTCTTCAATTTATTTCTTATCCACGCAGACCTGAAACATGCACGCGTATAGCTACTGTCACGTGTCGAGCGTTAATCTCTATTGCATCTCCAAGTCTGCCTCCAAAATCCATCGATTTCCGCGATGCTAGAATCGAAGCGACGAGCGTCACCGAAACCAGTGTCCCTGAACGGCGCTCGACAACTCGCAGCGATTAAGGAATCCCACCGCAAGCAGCGTGTCGGCTCGACAAGCTTCGACCGGCGAGGAATCGGCGGGCGATCGTGGACGAGCATGAGCCAGCCGGCAGAGAAGCGCATCGAGCGGCGATCAGATCGCAGCTCGCGGCCGGACTGCGAGGGTACGAGCGGGACAGGAACACGGGGGACCTGCTATGGCTTCCGAATCGCTGGGCTTCTTGCCTACCGGCTCCCGACGATGTGTTCGAACCTACATTTCCGATGACCAACTAAATCGCCGCCGCAAATCGTCGCTAGAGCGTCCAGCTCCCTCTCCGTCCCTCGTCCCAGCCGCCGCGACGCCGAGCGTTCGCAGCTGCACTTAACGCTGATCAGGAATAACGATCGCGAGGCTGTTACACGCGACCCAGCAAAATGGCCGGTATAATTGAGAGCTGGGTGCCGCCCTGCGGGTTGCTAGATGTTGCCAACTCTGTTTGCGGGAACGTTTGGTCAGGCACTTCGGTGGAGGGTATCGGTGTTGTGGAAGGATGCGCTATGCCAGTCCCAAGTTTCGCGTGGTTGCTTCCTTCGATCTATCCTTTTACCGAGTTTCCCTCTCTCCGATATCGCGAACGCGTTCGCTTGATTAAACGCGGGAATATACTTGTGGTCGGGAATTTTCGCTCGGGTCAGAAAATAATATAGATAATCTAGTTAAATCTTCGAAATAACCGGAGAAATACGATATTCCGCGGATTGCAATTTTATTTTTAACCCTTTCGCTGCTAAGGGTGACTATAGTCACCATCCACGAGACGCCATCTACAAAAATTGAGCAAAAATTAAGACAAGTGCTATCGTTCCTCTTCGCAAAGAATTGCAAGTGCTATTGCGATGATCGGTTTTTCCTCTTTTTCGTTTTTCCTATAGGAGAGACTTCGCGGCAATATCCGCCATAGCGAAAGGGTTAATTATACCTTGACGCTTTTAATTTCGAATTTTTGGAAACGTAGTTACTCCTAGTGTCTGTCAATTACTCTTGATATCTTTACGAGTTATTAGCAATTAAAGCTTTCGCTACTACAGATGACTATAGTCACCGGCCATGAAAATTGTCTGAATTTTTCACTCAATTTTACTTCTTTGAATTTTTCACTCAAGTGCTACCGTTCCTCTTAGCCCTCTTCGCAAAGAATTGCGAGCTCCATTGCGATGGTCAGTTTTTTCTTTTCTTTTCTTTTTTCTTGAAAGATTTGCGCCAAAAGCCCAAATTGCTAAAGACTGCAGGATCGTAATGTTTCCATCTTTGTCACGTTAAACGTCGATAGATCTCTAAATTGAAGGTGTCTAAGCAACATAGACGTAGGTTGCGAAGAGTTTAAGACCGGATAATCTACGGAACAGAGCTCTAATTGTAGTTGAAGTAAACCGAAGCAACTCCAGTTGCAGCTCACGCCCAGCTCTAGAGCACAAGGAGCAATTCGGTTTCGCGTGCATACCTAGGTGTACAGGTTGAAAAGCGAAAGCTGTAGGACGAGAGCTCTAGCTGTGAATATCCTGGCCGAGATCAGCACTTAGGAAAACGCAACCTCGAGAGTTCCATTTACAAATATCCGGATTTGGGGATTTAGTCCTAGCCAGGTCTAGGTATCACCGCGAGCTCCACTTACCCTAATCTACAATTAAGCCCACGTTTAAGGACACGTCGCAGAGAGCTCCGTTTCCCGCGAAACTTCGTTTATTTACACGGAAAAAGCTTCAAACCGGAAACTATCAGACCCCCAAATCATCAGCCAAGACACCCAACTAGCCAATCACCTAGCAGCCTGTTTCCACTTTATTTCGCTTCGCAGTCGAGCACTCGATCACGGATCTTTAATTAGCCGCGACTCCGCCTCATCGATCATCGATTCCACTCGCGGGATCCATTATACCGGGTCCTCCATTCACGCCCTCGACTTCCGACCACAGGTACGAGGTATCCTCGAGGTACGCAGGTACGCCGATTCATCGGAATCCAGTAAGCGGATTTTCTCCGTTAATAACGAGGCTGAACGAGCCTAGAACCGGCTGGTATCATTGTTGGCCGGCTCTCGTCGCCCTTAATAGGCATAACACTCGAAAATTCCTTTGAGCTCGCTGCAGGACCACGCTGGATGTTAATGGCTTCCGGAAGATCGCGGAGAATTTGCGCTCGTGCACGGAGGAACGCGTCGTTTTTTCCACCTTTTCCGCGGGCGCGCAAGAAGCAGAGAATGGAGCACCGGATAAATGGGTTTGGAAACGTTTGCCGGTTTTTTGGGCGCGGAACCAGCGGCAGAGAGGGGACAGGGGGGTCAGGGTGAATCGTGCTCGACGCCTCGGACACGGCCACGTTCCGGCTGTGTAAAGCCTCGCAACGCTCGCATTCAGCCACGCTCAGCCCGCTGAAAACGCGGCTGCTGTGTTTTAATCCCGCTGTTTTTTTTCTGTTTTTCCCTTTTTTTTTTTTAGCGCTGTTTTATTTAGAACGCGGCTTTAAACGGCTCGCAACCGGCGCAAACATTTCGCTAACGGTTTCACTTTTACGCCGCCGCGCCCCGAAATGATCCAGAGCCGGGTCCCGCTGGAACGCGGCCGATCCTGCGAGGATGCTTCGGGGTTAATCGAACCCCCGATTTAATCCGAGTCCGCCAACGCTTGGTGTCGCGTCGGTTAAGCGTCCCGAGGAACACGGGACACCGTGGAAGGTTTATTCTTTGAGATCCGGTTTGGGGGAACTCCAAGTTCGAGGAATCGTCCAGGGGGGTGACGGTGGTGTATAGTATCATTAGACGACGCTGGAGTTGGACGTTACTTCGCCAAGTATAAATGAGGGTACGTTTGAGGTCTCCTTTACGGAGTCACTTGGTACTTCGATACCTTTGGATGAGTCTGACGTAGGCAGTGTGTTCAAACGAGCAGCGTGTAATGAAGAACGCCTCGAATCTCGGTTTGGGTTAGGTCAGGCAGGCTAATTCAAATCGATGAGAAACAGGATCAACTTACTTCGGGGGGTAGGATAATCTCCGTAACTTGAGAAAAATAGAGAATATCAGGAATAACAGCGAGCTATGATCGATCTCAGGCTTATTCTCGCGGTTATCGAAGACTTGTAACTGCTTTTGGGAACATTAGCGCGAAATCTTCCATGATCGGTCAAATAACCGGTAAATGGAAGAATGAAATAAGAGAAACTTTTAAAGGAAGAATGAGAAGTGAGCAAAGTGACAATGTCGAATACGAAGTTTTTAATTTAAAATTGAAAAGCCACCATTTGGGTTCTGATGGGTTCAGTATTGATATTGCCTTTTATTTAAATGGAGGCACTTGCCTATTTAGTATTTAATACCAATTTTATGCTAAGACTAGTTTTAAACGTTTCACATTGAAGTCATAGTTTTACTATTGAAAGATATGGAAATATTGAAAGACTTCATCGAAGATTCAGCGGAGCCTTCGACTTTCAGATTGGGCCTGATGTCGTCGTTGATAGCGGGCCGATATCCGGTGGGAATCGGCGTCGGCGGTGTGTTCTTTCCGTCTACGCTGCAGCACCTTCATCAGCAACAGCAACACCAGCATCACTCGCGGCTGGCGGCCGCCTCATCGGCATTGAGCAACGCAGTCCAGGTCACGGGCCAATCGGACATCGTGGACGCCGACGGCATTCGCGGCGTCCTGCCCGGTGGCGCCGGTTGGCCGTTTCCATGGAGGCCGACGCACGGTCTGCAGACGCTGGAGCATCCGTCGCCGAGCGACGTCGTAGGAACCCTGAGTCGCGTCAGTCCCGCTTCCGCGTCCTTTCCGCAAAGGGGTGAGTTGCCAACGTCATGAATCCGTCGCTTCGTCTATACTTCGATGTATGTTTCGATTTATATTTCGATCTATGCTTCGATGTATGTTTCGATTTATATTTCGATCTATGCTTCGATGTATGTTTCGATTTATATTTCGATCTATGCTTCGATGTATGTTTCGATTTATATTTCGATCTATGCTTCGATTTATATTTCGATCTATGCTTCGATGTATGTTTCGATTTATATTTCGATCTATGCTTCGATGTATGTTTCGATTTATATTTCGATCTATGCTCCGATGTATGTTTCGATTTATATTTCGATTTATACTTCGATTTATATTTCGATCTATGCTTCGATGTATGTTTCGATTTATATTTCGATCTATGCTTCGATGTATGTTTCGAACTAGGTTTTGATTTAAGTTTCGATTTATGCTCCGATGCATATCTCGATCTAAATTAGATAATTAGGGATTGATGGTACGTTACAAATTAAAAGTCTATTCGTAGATGTACTACACAAGTAAATAAGCATGCCAATTGATATATCAATCGACAAAAAATTCCCGCTTGTAATCTCAGGAACAAAATGGCAGCACCCTTCTGTTCCCTCCGATCGTGCATCGATAAATTCCACAGCGGATGGTTCGATTAGAAATAATTTAGCCTGTTAACTACTCGCTCGCGGAATATACGTAAACATTCGGCATATTATAGAGGCATGATTATGCGTGAAATCGTGTCGAATTGCTGGATCATAAATTTAGGCTAGCCGTGCGTAATGGTGGTTTGTAAACATTCTCGTGGGGTAACGACTCGTTGACTGAAAATCGCGAGCCGATTCAAACGCTCGCCCTATTCCCTATCTGTAAATAGACTTCGTTCAATGAACGAGAACATCAGCGATGCATCTATCGTTGCACATCAATCCCAAATGGCGAGGAGATAACGTGATCGATCGATTGCCATAATTTTTCCAAATGGGCCGCTTGTAAATTCGACGAAACCCGACAATCGTTACAGGAGGAAGCAAACCCTCTCCCTCTGCTCTATAAAATCTGCCACATAAATTTCCTAATTAATAATTCGCGCGAATTTTCAAATAAGTCTATTCAAAATCTATCGCGCGAATTTTAAAATGAATAATTAATTAACTATATTAAACATCGGTTACGTGGATTTCAAGATGAATAATTTCCGTTGAAAATCTGTTACGCGGATTTCGTGATTAAAGATTGATAATTTGCGATAAAAATGTGTCGCGTGGATTTTGCTATTGTCAATTTAACCGCGGGACAGGCGAGAATGGCGGACGACAAAGGGACGATCTCCGGTGAAACGAATAAGGGTAGCACGGCGAGAAAAATCGGCTGCGGAGTGAAGCACCGTGGTTAAGAAGATAGAAACTCGCGAGGATCGTGAAAGGAACGGGAAGCGGAATAAAGAGGAGAGAAAAGGGCAAGGCGAGGGCTCGTACGCGTTCTACGTAAGTGTATAAACGCGAGCGTGGACGGCGACGAGTACGGCTTCCACGGCTTCCACCACGACAAACCAACGTCGATCGCCTTACCCGCCGATCGTTTTACTCCTGCCACTTCGCCAAAATACTTGGCAGCCTGCTAGATGACTGCCGTTTGCACCTACGGCGAGACAGACTGATAACTCTGTAAACCTCTCGACGTTCTTGCCCCGCATGCTCTCGAATCGTTCTCCCGATTTGAAAACCAGCCGATCTGCAAAGAAGTTTCAGCCTACGGGAAAATTACGAATTTAATCGAACTTGATCGATAAAATATTTGACGTCTGATTTAATTGGCAAGATAATTCTGCAGACTCGGATAAATGGTATAATCCTTTCCTGCAATCGCTGAAAAATACGCGAACCGGCTATGGAGGGGAATAAGAGCGGGGAAATTATAGATTTTCGCGATAAGAGCTGACAAAATCGAGGCGTGAAACACGAGGTGTTTACAATGGATTTGCGAGATCGCGAGTTTTGCGCGAATGGCGCGAAGAACCGATGCAGGAGTGACAAATATTTCATTAGAGCGATGAAACACGGCTATGCCCGATATCTGAAGCAATTATATCAAAATGGATAAATAGAATATTAATTATCGGACTATCAATCGACTAAATATTAAATGCAACAGCCGGACGAATTGAATAGCCCCGGTTGATTTATCGAATTTACCGGCCGAAGGGAATTTATAGATACATATCCCGGCTGGTGATCGACAATACCGAAAGGGATATCTCCGCGATTCTGTTCCCGCTACCGACGAGGAAAACGTTTTAAAGGACCGGTTAATTAACGCATTTAGCATATGCCAAACCGTTTCGCCGGATAAATAGAGTGATTTGTGAAATCACGTCTGCTTTCGTCACTTGCAATATCACGTTGCATAATTATCCCATGAAAATTGCCCGCGACAATCGAACCGCCGATTCTTCCTTCTTCTAATCCTGTCATTTTCATCGACCTCGTTAATTATCTCCATTGTCATTTGCATTAAGATAATCGTTGCTCTTTGACACTGGAATTATCCGTAACGTATATACGAATAGCAATAATCAAAGTCGTGCGTGGAAACGGAAAGGTTCGGATTATTTTCGTCAGAAGCCATTGCAGCTTGCAGTAACTAAAAAATTTAAAACCGGTTACTTCGACCCCTCGAGAGTTCATACCGCGTGTACACGCGATGACCAAAGTCAATTCGCAGCGGGTACGATGTATATACGCGGATTATCAACCCCTTGCACACCAAGAATATTTTTATTCCATCGATCAGGAACTCTAACACGCTTCGGCTGTGAAGCACATTTTAAAAGCAGAAGTTTCCGTTTTGGGGAGGAAAATATTATCTGTAAATCTTCGTGCTATTCGCGCGGCAACCCTACTCGCCTTTTTATTTTTATCCATGAGAACGAAATCAAATGGCCAATCGCGCGTTCTCCGTATTTATATAATGGCGTCGGTGTGCAAGCGCGAAGGGTTCAATTTCTCGCGTATCTCGATATTTATATCGTGCATCGATTCGTGGAAGAATGAAAATCCTCTGACACGTGTTTATGTAATACACGCGTCGTTTATTTCTGTAGTACGTTCGAGTAGTTGGGAAAATTGGTGTCACCGATATTTAAGATAGTCTTCGAAGAACAGTGCTCCGTATACTATACTAACTGTACGGTTATCGCGGGCCAGAAAAATTTTCCCAAAAATCGCCTCGGAATCCGCGGCAATTCGTTAGGTTCAAGCCGACGTTTCACTGCTGCCACGATTTATAACGCGGTCGCTCGCGATGGTATCCATTTAGAGCCTCGCGTTCACCGCAATGACAACGAACTACCGATCATCCTCGCGATTCGAAGCATATGTTTCCATTACCCCGCACGCCTATTGGGAAAATCGAGGCGTTAATCGGTATCGATGAGCGACCTCCGACCAAAAGCATTATCTTATCCTCCGGCTACTCTCCATCGATTGTCGTCCATTCCAGACAACGAGATATTCAAGCGTCCTTTTATAGCTTCTCCTTTCCTCGACATCGATCCCCTCTATGCAGAAGTAATTCCTGCTCTTAAAATCGGATCACTCTTTACGACCGATTCGTCAGACATTTCCTAGATCTGATAATGGGTCGCGATGAAATGATAAATCGTTTAATTCTTGGTTGCGCCGCCATCTTTTTTGACACCAGGATCTAATCTTTTCAAATTTTTGCAGTAAAAATTCTGCATTCGGTGTTATTTATCATTCGCATCGCTCGGTTTCTCGATATTTCTCTTGATATATGTATTATGAATTTTTTTGGTATACTCTATTCGAGGCTCGTTTCATCGGTGGTGTTAAATTCGTGTTAAATTCCCTGTTAAACTCGTATTAAATTTTTGTTCTTTATAATCTTCTTTTCATACCGTTTTCGAAAGTGGGACTCGATCATAAAAGTTTGGAAACCTCTGCTGTGTGTTATTTGATCAGTTCACAGGTTAGGATGACTAACTCTGCAGTTCAAATGTCTTCAAACTTTCGCGCCAAAATACTGGGATGATACTTAAATTTCCAGGTTTAAAATAAATTCCTATTCTTCCGATTTGACAAATGAGCAGCTCGTTTGACACCTTCGCGATCGTTCTTCGGGGGAGAAGTTTGAATAATTGAGGAAAAGGAGTTGGAACACCGGGACCAGGGGGAGAATAGGGAGTCTAGGCATCTCCAACGCGAGTCGATAAAATTATGTCTGTTTCTCTTATTCGGAACCCAAACTTTTATGGCTAGGGCCCACCGTCTGGGACAGAGGAAGGCAATCAGTTATACAATAAGTAATGAATCTCTCCGGTTGCTACTGTGCATTGTCCAACGATTCCCTACCCTTTCTAACACAACGCATTAAAAGAATGTCAGGCATACGTGCTAACGAACTTAAATTCTTGAGCTCTGAGGTTTGCCTGGACTTGGTCAAGGCCTTGGAGCAAAGAGTAAAGAGTACTAAAATCGCATGTGGTGTGCCCTCAGACGACCTGGACGACGAGAACGGGGAGGAGCGTCTGCACCGGACACGGAGTCCATCGACGGGCGACGAGGGCCACGACGAGCTCGGCGAGCAGGACGACTGCCCGGAGGCTGACGGCGAAGGGGAATCGACGAACTCGACGAGTTTGCACGGCAGTGGCGGCGGCACAGGGACCGGCGGGGGTGGCGGAGGTGGCGGTCAGAACAGCGTGCAGGTCGGCGTGGACGGTCGCGATTCGAGCAGCATGAAGCGGAAGAAGAAGACTCGGACGGTGTTCTCGCGATCGCAGGTGTTCCAGTTGGAGAGCACGTTCGACATGAAACGCTACCTCTCGTCGTCGGAGCGCGCCGGCCTGGCCGCTTCGCTACGGCTCACCGAGACCCAGGTGAAGATCTGGTTCCAGAACCGTCGTAACAAGTGGAAGAGGCAACTGGCCGCCGAGCTGGAGGCGGCAAACATGGCGCACGCGGCCCAGAGACTAGTCAGGGTGCCGATACTGTATCACGAGGCGTCCGCCGGAAGCGGAACGTCCGGCAGTGTGTCGGTGTCGGTGGCTGCGCCGCAGGCCGCCGCTGCGCCAGCGTCGGTCGCCACGTCGGCGCTCTCGCACTCGGTCGGCGTCGGAGTCGGCGTCGGTGTCGGCGTCGGCACCTCCTGCCCCCCTACCACCGCCCAGCCGATCTTCTACTCCCATCACCATCAGCACCACCATCATCATCCGGCTCACGTGCAGGCGCACACTCTCCTGCCCCACCAGGTACACCCACAACCGCCGCCACCCCCGCCGCCGCCGCCTAACGGCCAACCACCCCAATCCTCCTCGCAATAACACCGTCCGGCTCACGAGACCGTCGGCCCGCTGCAACCAACCACCGCCGACACCGCGATCTCCCTCTCGCGACTCGCCTCGATCGCCTTGTCAGGATGAAGGTCTTCTCCGTGCCGTTCGTCGATCTTGGATCCTCGATCGCGCCGATCCTGCCACGGTCAGCCAGGTAGTCCGATACTTTTCTTTTTCTTTTTCCAAATTCGCTGCTACGTAGCGGCAAGGAATTTTTAAATTTCCAATTCAAAAATTCGTGGAACAATCTGTAGTTCTTGGAACGCGTGTCGGAAGACCCCCTCGTTGGTGATTTTAAAGGTGTCGATAAGTTAAGATATCTGGACTCGTTTCGAGTTACTTTTTTCTTAAGTTTGACAAGCGAATAGAGCTTCTAAAGAAATTGCTTTCTTCGTCAGATTTGCATATTATATATCTCCGTTACTTTAAAGCCATTGCAAAGAAGTACTAATCGCGATATATTCATACAAAAATTGTACATAGAATCGAGTGTCATAATTTTAACCGTCTGGGAGGATACTTCGACGCCATTGCAATCGGCGATGAGGGAATTTCCCGACAAGTCCTTCGCATCCGTTTAGAAAATTGTGGAAAAGAATAATCGACGGAATATCTCGGAAGTGAAAATCCGCGAAACTTTCGTGGCAGTGAGAAAAATATTTAAAAGGATCGAGAGGAAGAGGAGTAAGGTTGATCTGGCTGGTTCGTGGTATCGGTCTGCTCGTAATGTTCCGGCACGATCGATGGTCCTGGGGTCTTCGTTCCAGCACGAAACGATCTCGTTTTATCCGCGTTCGTCGCGCCACGTCTTTCAATTGCACGTTCCAAGCCGTACACAAGCTCCGCGTTCCGTTCCAAGCGACGATGCATGGAAACGCGAGAGGGTAGGATCGCTGCCTCGGCCTCTACGGGGTTGATCTATGCCGCGGTTCAACGCGACTGGCGACTTCCGGCAAGTCGAACAATTGTAATATAAGTATGTATCTAGTCTGTCACTCGTCGATAAGAAACTGCTCGTGGAACGATTATTAAGATATTTTGTCGAAGATCGCGGGACAAGCACACCATTGTGCTTCTCTGTTTCTCTCTGTCGTTTTGATTCGTCTATTTTCCTACATTTCTCCTCTTTCTTTCTCCGAGACGGTCGTTTGAACGATCGCCGTTTCCATGGTCTACGCGAACCCCGCTAGTTTCCACCCCCCTTCCCCTTCCCCCCTCCCCGTCCTCTCGTTTTATTCTTTTTAACCGGGAACGTTGCAAAAGCGAAGCGAAGAGTCTCAAAAGTGTAAATGTAACCGCTAAGAGATTGTAACTAATTGTTAGGTACACCATAAGACACAGGCAGGGTTCCTACGACATTATTCTACCTGTTGTGATAAGTATTTAAACGATTAATTTTATTAAACGAAAACGGTAGAGTTACGAAGTACCGGCTCACTCCTCTCCTTCGCATTGTGTATCTCCACCTAATCTATAGACGTCAATTAAAAGAAGAGCAAGCAGACACACCGCCTGTCGCGCCGTGTTTTGTACGGATGTTTGTGATCCGAGATTCACCGAGACTATTGTACAGCCGATCGTTTCGTAATCGCTAATAATGATCGTTGAACCATACACACCAGTGCACAGTTCAGCAACCCTCTCACGTATCATCATCCCAACTCACGCGTGTCTCGTCGCCGGTTCTACGAGTTTCCCGAATAATCCCATTCCGAGAACCGCCAATCGATCTTTCGAGGGAGACCAGAGTATTCGTCAGAGTATCGGTCAGTGTATTGGTCAGATTCCTAGATCAGAATACTAGCATAGATACTGCAAAGTTTGAAGTGTTTTCCATTAACAAGTTAAACGCCGTTCCGTTCAGTTAGCCACAGTTAGCCATCATGCGGGCCCTTCCGGGCCGTGCGAACCGACGGGGCCTGAACGGAGAGTCTAGTACTGGTCCCTGGGGACCGGTTCAGCGTTTAACGTTGTTATTACCACGAGTTTTCGATATTCGTATCTTCTTTAGAATAAAGTTGGTCAATGATTTCCGAGTGGAACGACGATGTAACCGAGTTTGATAGACTGTCAGAATTGTCAATTGTCAGCAGCTTTGTGTCGTACTCTGTGTTCCCTCGTTTCAAAGATTCCGACGTGTGTCTCGATGTAGAATATCTCCAAGACGGGAAAAATCCGCGAAATTCGTGCATCGAGTCAGCGGGAAAGTTCCTGGGGTAAACTGAGAAGTTTCGAAGGGTGGTCGTCGGGAAGGCTCTCGCGCGAAAAGAAGATTTCATGGTTAAATATGGTAGTCCCTATCTATCGAGTCTGACAAAGATTAGTGTCACGAATCAGTAAATTTTATATCGAAAAGTGTCATTGCAGTCGATCACGGTACGCAGGTGATTCTATGTTGGAATTCTATTGCAATATATTCCCAGTTTTATCGATATTCGAAGTCACCCCTTTATCTGAAATTTAAAACTAGCAAAGGTTAAAAAACTAAGGTTAAAAATTAACAAATTCTCGGCAAGAATTTAATTTTGATACAAAAACTGACGGTGCTTAATCTCAGTTTTACTAGTATTTCAAATCACCAGAGTGAAAGCAAAAATCGCCCGAAAATTTTGACCATTGTTCGAAAACAAATTTCGATATTCTACGCGGAATGTTGCAGTGGAAGCACGTCGAATCGAAACCTAAACTCGACAAAGGGCGAAATTTACTCTAGCCATCGCGAGAAATTTCTGTTACTCTCACTTCGACTTGGACTTTCCGAAATTTGTGAAAAATCTTAGAGACGAAGGCAGAAAGGCGGATAGCGGCGCGTTAACCGAACATGCGTGGAATAGTCGCGACAATTCCTGCCGATCAATGTCTCAGCCCGAGATCGTCTCCAAAGGCAGATAAACGAGACCGGTGGTGAACGCGATCAAAGAGCGCACGGAGCCTTCCCGGGCACCGCGAGGATCCGGTGAACGCGCGACACAGTTTTAGCCCTGCAGAATGGTGTGCGGTGTCAGGTGGTTCACAGGCACGTTCAGCCGATTCATCGTCGCTTTCGAGGAGAAAACGTCGAGGCGCCATTGGTGGCTGTCGACCACGAGGGAGCAGGCACGACAATGCGGCCGTACCGCCGCGTTTCTCTGCATCTGCACACGCGGCACAGCATCCGAGTAAGTACGCGCACGTAAGTACGTGCACTTCAATCATCGTGCTCACAGGCCGTCGCGCGCCATCGCGCCTTCGCCTCTTTTTCGCCTCTTTTTCGCCTCTGATCTCTCTTTCTCCGCGAGAACCTTTCATCCGCCGAGCGATTCCATCCTGAAGCCAGCCGCCTGCCTCCGCAACCCCGGCCTCCTGTCCCTCGTTTTAGTTTTATTCCGCTTGCACACGCTGCCCTTTTCTCTGCTCCGCGCCCTCTTTGCGTTCGACGTTTACCGTCTTCCTTTCTGCCACGTCCCGACACCCCGTGTCCTTTCGCGCCGAGGACCGTTGGGACTCGATTATATCGAGGCTACTGTCTGACGAGTATCTCGATCTGCATCAGTCGAACCTGCTGTTTGGGATAGGATAAGCTGTCCTTTTGCCTCCGCTCTTTCATCGTGCATGTGTGACGGTTGTTGCGCCTGGCTCTCGAGGCGGCAAGGCCGAGATGGTGTTTCGTTCCTGGCTTTATCGGGAGCAACACGTTGATGCAAGGATGCAAGGACTCGATCCGTCGAGGTGGATCCGCAGGCTTGTCTGCGGTCTCGTTTCACTTTCCGCTACGAAGCTGTTGGCAAGTGTCCTTCGCTCGTGTTGCATCGTCGCGATGAGAACCGTAAGTTTCCTTTCCCGACAGTTCGATGACCAGTGAAAGTTAGGCGAAACGAATTTTCGCACCTGGTACGAGGCGTTACATCTTGCATGTGTCGTAGGAATATTAGCGAACTGTTGAAAATGAATCGTCACTAATGTATCGCGAATTTATTTACGAATTTGGCAAGCTCGATGAAAGTTCGATGAATCCATCGGTATCGAAAATATTTGAATAGATTGCTATTAATTCGACAATTAGCTAACTCCGCGGCAAGCTTATTAGCAAACTTTGCAAACCCCATACGCGAATTACCTAACGAATCTTTGAACCTTTGTATCATACTTAGGAGCATCCGCTCTTCGCAGAAAATAATCGGAAAGATGGCCGTCGCGAATTGGGTGCATACGAATTAATCGAATGAGACGAATTCGGAAGAAGGGACGAGTTTAAAGATGACGGAATAATGGCGCGGAGTATTTGGGACGTTAATGCATAGGGAAAAATGGTGGAAGGATGGTGGAAGCACGAGGAAGAATTCGAGCAAATGGTATCGTGATGCAACGACGTCGAAGATATCAGCTCCGCATGGCCGGAAACCGTGGATTAAACGCGGTTCGACTGATTAAACACGATTTATATTGGCGTTAATAAGCGATGGCATTGAATATTTAAAGCGACTCATTAACTCGGTAATTGCGATGAAACGGCGTTGCCCGCGAGGAGCGTTGATCGATCGATTTCAATCTCGTTCCTTTTTGTTCCGCCGTTACCTTCGTTGCGGAACAACGTTTCCCTATCGCTAACAAGCCGATCGGAAAATTCAGCCGTTCGTCGATATCGCTTCTGGGGCACGGATGAAAAAGGAAGAGGCGAGCCGGTGGTAGGAGAAACTATTTCTTTCCAGTTCGATGCTGCGTCGTCAAATGACAGGAAATTTTTTGCGATTTAATGAGACTGGTTTAACATCGGTATCCGTAGCCTCGACGCGAGGTAAACCGACGTAAACGGGTAGAAATAAATTCGAACAGCCGGTAATAGGAGCCAGTACACTCGAAAATCAAGAAACCAGAGAAACTTCCGTGAAATAATTTCAACCACCGCTCAACGGGTCTATGATGGAAAAAAAGGGGGAAAAAATATACAAAAAGGGATACAAAAATTCTGGTTTCGGTTATTCTTTTTTTTTTTTTTTTTGGTTTTCGACGAAACGCTCGCATGCCGAATACG